AAAAAAAAAAAAATAAAAATAAAGTTTTATAACCTATTACATGATAGAGTACCAGATTGCCTCATCAAGGTTATTTCTTTTTAATGTGATACAGTGCACAAAGATGTTACCAAGAAGGCTAGCAGTGGAGTTTGAATGCATTAAAATGTTTAGGTGGGCATGTAAAGTAAGCTTTTGGTAAAATAAAATAGTTAATTACATACAACATGATTCAGCAATGCTTGGTTTTCTTAACACTATCCTTTGAATGTATTATTTATTACTATTAAAAATACCTTTACTGGCTTTACATACTATCTTTAATGCCCTACAGTATCTGCAGACTAGACAGATACTGTAGAATCATCAGCATTTAGGTGGCAGTTGAAGCCAAGAGAATAATTGAAATTGCCTAGGCACATTGTAAGTAACAAGGAGGGAAAAAGGAAAGTGGGCATTTTGAGAGTATTTAGGAGTCTTAGTATTTAAAGATTAGGTGGGGGAAAGTAGCCAGTGAAAGAGAGTCAGAGATAGGAAATGAACCAAGAGGCTGGACTCAGTGGCTCATGCCTGTAACCCCAGCACTTTGGGAGACTGAAGTGGGTCACCTTCGGTCAGGAATTCAAGACCAGCCTGCCCAACATGGTGAAACCCCATCTCAACTAAACATAATTAGCCGGGTGTGGTGGGAAGTGCCTGTAATGCCAGCTACTAGGGAGGCTGAGGCATGAGAATCACTTGAACCTGGGAGGTGGAGGTAGCGGTGAGCCAAGGTCGCAATGAGCCGACATTGCACCCCTGCACTTCAGCATGAGCGACAGAGACTCCGTATCAAAAAAAAAAAAGAAAGAAAGAAAAGAAAATGTACCAGGAGACAGAGCAATCCTGGAAGTCAAAAGGGAAGACTACTTCAAGAGAATGCTGTAGTTAATAGTATCAAATGTTAAATAAAATAGGATAAGGGTTGAAAATAGAGCATTGAATCTGGCAATTGGTAGACATTGGTGACCAAAATGAGAACAGTTTCAGTGGAGGGGGTAGAAGTATTGTGATTGATTAATGATGGAAGGTAATAAATAGAAGAAATATATATATGTATGTGTGTGTGTGTGTATGTGTGTATGTATATATATATTTATATATATGTATGTATTAACAATTGATAGAGGATGGTGGCTTTAAACCAGAAAGTTACTTAGAATAAAGATTTTGGGGCCGGGTGCAGTGGCTCATGCCTGTAATCCCAACACTTTGGGAGGCTGAGGCAGGCGGATCACAAGGTCAGAAGTTCAAGACCAACCTGGCCAAGATGATGAAACGCTGTCTCTGCTAAAAATACAAAAAAAATTAATCTGGACATGGCAGCAGGTGCCTGTAATCCCAGCTACTCAGGTGCTGAGGCAGGAGAATTGCTTGAACCTGGGTGGCAGAGGTTGCAGTGAACTGAGATCATGCCACTGCACTCCAACCTGGGCGATAGAGTGAGACTCCATCTCAAAAAAAAAAAAAGATTTTGGGGTTTGGTTGTTGCTGTTATTTTTTTCTCATTTTAGAATTTTGAGGAAAGATGTGAGTACATTTGTATTAAAAAACAAAGTTGTCAGTTGAGGAAGAAATACAGAAATTACGGAAAAGAAAAAAGGTAATAGATGAAGCAGGTCCCTGGATAAGCAGATGATGGCCCTGGGGCACATGGAAAAAAGGTACCCTGGAAGAGACGGAGAGACTATGACTGTATCTTTAGATCAAACAGTACCTAAAATGAGAGATGGAAAAGTAGAAAGCTGAAGCCATTCTTGATGATTTCTATTTTTTATAAACTAGGAGCAAGAGAGATTCTTAGTTCATTTGTTCGCCACTTGCTAACTACAGGACACGGTGCTTGAAACTTAGGATACAGAAATAAAAAGATAGTCATGGTCCTTTGTTTTCTGATATTCACAGTCTGTTGAATAAGATATACATTAAGCAATTCAAATAAAGAATGATAAATGTTTTAGTAAGTAAATATTGGGTACTATGAGAACATCAAATAGGGGGCCTAACCTAGTCTAATTAGGAGATAGTCTCCCTAAGGAAATGGCTTCTTAGGCCGAGGCCTGAAAGTTTGGGAATCACTCAGACAAAAAGGCTATAAGTAAGAGATTGGAAATTATATCTGTCAGAGCAGCATATGGAAAGGTATGGACAATAAAAAGAGTGAGCATAGAAGGTTCTGAAAGAAACTAGAAAAGAATTCTTCAGTATAGCTGGAGCAGAGGTTACAGGAGTAAAATTGGTGAGTGTATATGTACTGTACAGAGGTATGTAGTATTCATGTCTTAAAAGATGTTAAAGGCCACATTGGCCATGGGAAATCAGTGAAAGGTTTTATTGAGAGCTGCTTTAGGGCAATAATGAAGCAATACATGTTAAAACATGAAGAGTAAGATAAGATAGCAGCTTCTAGATAGCTATCTAGTGGAGATACAATTTATTATATTCAAAAATTATCTAGGAGAGTGACTTGTAGAGAGAACTTGATGACCTGATAACTGATTGCGGGTTAGAGTAGAAATTGGTTTTTTTGGATCTAGGGTCTCGCTGTGTCACTCAGGCTGGAGTACAGTGGCATGATCACAGCTCATTGCAGCCTCTACCTCCCAGGTTCAAGCAGTCCTTCACTCCCAGCCTCCCAAGTAGCTGGGAATACAGGCACGTGCCACTGTACCCAGCTAATTGTATTTGTTTTTTGTAGAGATGGGGTCTCACTATGTTTCCTGGGCTGGTCTTAAACTCCTGGGCCCAAGCAGTCCTCCCACCTCAGCCTTCCAAAGTGCTTGGTTTACAGGTATGAGCCAACTTAGCCAGGTTAGAGTAGAAGATTTTTAAAGCTACTGAGGAGGCTGAGGCAGGAGGATGGCATGAGTCAAGGATGAGTCCTAGATTTATAGTTTTTGATCAGCCAGATAGAAGCCAGATAGATAGCGATGCCATATTTTGAAATGACAGTTATTACAGGGAAGGCACATGTTTTGCTGGGGCACGCTGGGGAATTCTGTTTTGCAATTGTGAAATATGAGAACTTTGTGAAACAGCTGGGTAGCTATTGGCTTTATAAGTATAAAACTTAGGTGAGAGAACTGGTCTGGTTTAATGGATGTAGTCATTAATATACAGGTATTATTTTAAGCCAATCAGTATAACTTTTTAATCAAAAATAAGTAAAATATTTATACATATAATTGCATATGAATTAGTATTTTATAGTTATTTTGCTTCCCTCTCCCTCTTTGTCCGTATTTTTTTTTTTTAACAGTTCTGGATTATTTCCTCTTCTTGCAAATGCTGCCATGTCTGTGAAACCAACATTGCTCAGTTTGTATGAGATATATTATCTGCCTTTGGGTAAAACACTGAAACCTGGTCTACAGGGATTGCTTACTGGTATTCTTCCTGGCTTAGAAGAAGGATCAGAGTACTATGAGAGGTAAGATCATATTTGGTGCAGTTAGGTAATTGAAGTCATGGATTTGTCAGCAAGCGTCTTTAGGTAAATATGTTTTAACATCACAAATGAATTATTCTAGACAGTTCAGTGTATCACATGAGTAATTCTATAGCAATAAAACATTATTGTAGTTTGTCTAGTCTGTGTATCATACTGAAAACATAGCTAGCAGTAAAAGCATAGACTTCGGAGGTGGATGTACTGAGTGGAAGTCCTGCCTATACAGACACTGATCTTAGGCAAGTTTTTTTAGTGTCTATGAACTTCAGTCTCCTCATCTTTAAAACAAACATAATACCTATTTCTTTGTGTTATTATAGTAAGAAATCACTTAGTCCTTTGCCAAGCACATACAAGTCACTCAAGAAAATTGTGACTGATAATTTAAAATAATAGATAGGACATTTAGATTAATGAAAAGAATGAAAAATTAGTTCATGCAGTAACAATTTTTAAATTGCTAATGGGAGAAAATAGCTTAGTGCCAGTACAGTGCTGTTTTGCTAGCTGTTGACATGGTACTCTTGGTATTTAACTGTTATTTGATCTGTTTGGTGCCCATTATTATTTTTGGGGAGTTAATAATTGTAGGCAATGCATTATGGCATTAAGTATCTCTAATACCTCATTACTAATATTCTTATTTTAAACAACTGAGTTGAGGCAGCAAAAATAGAAAATACCAAACTTTATAAGTAGACTTAATTATTAAATTTAAATATTTTATTCAAGTGCATTGCCTAGTTATTATTTTTCAGCCGCTTCCATCATTCAGTAAGAATCTAATTCTTAATATATTGAATTACCTTTTTAAAGGCTCCTTGCGGAAAAAATAATTTTGTCCTCAAAGTTTGAAGCTTATCACTTGTTTTAATTAATTTTACTTTTTTTGTTATTTTCCTACAGTTTCATAAATGTAATATGAAATTGTTTCATTTAGCTTATAAAATAGTTTTGTTTAAAACTGTCATTTTTCTCTTAAGGAAGCATGGACTTGATACCAATTATAACTCTGCTAGTTACAATTGAAAATTTTATAGAAGTTGAATAATGATCTTTATAACTGTGGTATTCCCATGATTTACCTTGTTAATGTTTTGCTAGTTATTTCATATAAGTTCTATGAAAGGATTTGTAAATGTTATTCTTTTACTATGTAGGTAAATTAAGGGCCAGAAGAAATTACAGGGTTAGTTTTAAGTAGCAAGTAAACAGTAGAACTCATCAAATTCTCTTCACTATACTACAGTGTAATAGACTTTCATGTATTGCATTGTTTATCTTATATTGAAAACAAATCAAAAGTAATTTTTTTCAACTTTTATTTTGGATTCAGAGAGTACATGTGCAAGTTTATTACATGGTTATATTGCATGATACTGAAGTTTGGGGTTTGGATGATCCCTTTACCCAGGTAGTGAGCTTACTATTTAATATGTTTTTTTTTAGCCCACTCCCCTTTCTTCCCTCCCTTAAAAAGTAATCTTTAAGTGTATTTCTTATTAAAGCATTAGGTATCTTTGATTTTGTCATAGATCTAATTCATTGAAGTTTTGAACTATATAATGATTTCAGAAAGATTTGAAATGTCTTTTGAAGATTTCGTAGAAAGCCAACAGACCATATATTCTATAGGTTACTATTAACTGAAATGTATGTGGTGTTTTAATACTTAGAGTACTATAACAGCCCAGTGAGGTAGGTTTGTGATGTCTTGTTATGTTTGTTTGTCTTGTCTTGTGATGGAGTTTTTTTGTTGTTGTCTCTTCATTTTACAAATGAGGAGACTTAACTGAAGAACAATGAAGTGACTTCCTCAACATATGTAGTTAGTAAATGGTGGAGCCAGGACTTAAAGTCAGTCTTCTGACTTCTTTCAGTCATCACACTTGTTTCTAGGGTGGAACATACAACTATAGCATGGAAGTTTGCATACATTCTGGGAAGAAAGTGATTTATTTTTAAAAAGATGAAATTAAATGTTTCCCTTTTTAAACCACTTTATTTATACCTCAGAACAAATACGTTGTTGGAAAAGGTTGCTGCTGCTGTGGACCAGTCGGCATTCTACAGTGCCCTGTGGGGTAGCCTTCTCACCAGTCCTGCTGTGCGTTTACCTGGAATCACATATGTTCTTGCCCATTTAAACAGGAAGCTTTCTATGGAAGATCAACTTTATATCATTGGCAGTGATATTGAGCTAATGGTAGGTCTAAAAATATGGTTGCTCATTTCACAAATATTTCCTTAGAACCAGACACTATTCCAGACGTGCACTGAGGATTGTATAATGAACAGTTTCCATTTTCATGGAGCTTACATTTTTCAGATCTCTCAAGTTGTATACTCCTTAAAATACAAAATATTTCCATCGCCCTTAAAAGTCCTCCATGCCTCTTTTTAGTCTCTCCCCTTCCTCTATACTCCCAGGCCCTTTGAAACACTGATCTGTTTACTGTTTCTATAGTTTTATTTTTTCTAGAATGTTACATAAATCATACTGTATATAAGTGGACTCATTTTTTGTGATCTTTAGATCCATGTTGGTCAGACTGGTCTTAAACGCCTGCCTTGCCCTCCGAAGGTACTGGGATTACAGGCATGAACCACTGCACCCGGCCTGTGTGCATGTACCATTAATCAGCTAATGGACATTTGGGTTGCTTCTGTATTTTGGCTGTTAAAAATAATGCCCATTGAACACTCATTTATGAGTTTTAGTATGGACATGTGTTTTCATTTCTTTCAGGTGTATACCTAGTAGTGCCATTTCTGAGTTTTTTGGTACCTCTGTTTAGCTTTTTGAAGAATTGTCAAATTTTTGCCAAAGTGACTGCACCAGTTTTTATTCCCACTTGGAGTATATGAAGATTTCAGTTCTGTCACATCATTGGCAACACTTGTCTTTTTTATTATACTTCTCCCAGTGGGTATAAAGTATTGTCATTGTGGTTTTGATTTGCATTTCCCTAATGACTAATGAAGAACATATTGTGATAATTGGCTATTTGTATATCTTCTTTGGATAAGTTTCTGTTCAGATTCTTTGTCCATCTTAAAAATTAGGTTATTTGCCTTTTGTTGTTGAATTGTTGTTGATTTATCATATATATGATTTGAAAATATTTTCCCCTATTCTGTAGATTATCTTCCCATATTCTTGATAGGGTCCCTTGAAGCAAAAAAGTTTTAATTTTGATCAAGTCCAGTTTATCTAATTTTTTTTCTCTTGCTACCTATGCTTTTGATATTATATTTAAGAAACCATTGTCTAATCCAAGGTATCAGAGGTTTACTCTTTTTTCTTCTAATGTGTAAATTTATTAGAAATTGCCAAACTATTTCCAAAATGGCTATGCTTTTTAAATTCAGGTTTTAAAATATACTGTTACATTTATTTTTAATGACTTAATGTAAATTTTAAACAAATCTTTTTTTACTTATTAAATAAATGACACACATGGAAAAACGTGCAAAATATCACAGTCAAAGGAATATTCTAATATTCAAAGAGCTATAGATAATATGAATAATCAAGTAGAAAATGGATTTGAGTCGATAATTAAAGGAAATAAACATAATTCAAATATAAAGAGATGATCTATATTGTAATAAAGAAATAAAAGTTTAAACTACACCAACCCAGTTTTCATGTCTAAAAAAAAAAAAATGGGAAAAAAAAATGTATTGCTAAGCAAGCGTGTGGAGAAACAAATTGTCATGCAAACTTCGTGGGAATATAAAGTGATAGAAACCTAATACAAAGCATTATGCTATTTATTTATTTATTGACAGTCTCACTTTGTCACCCAGGCTGGAATGCAGTGGCAAAATCTGGGCACGCTGCAACCTCCGCCTCCAGGGCTCAAGCAACTCTCTTGCATCAGCCACCGAGTAGCTGGGATTACAGGAATGCACCACCATGCCCATCTAATTTTTGTATTTTTAGTAGAGACAGGGTTTCACCGTGTTGGCCAGGCTGATCTCCAACTCCTGACCTCAAGTGATCCACCCACCTTTGCCTCCCAAAGTGTGTTATTACAGGCGTGAGCCACCACACCTAGCAGTATTATGCAATTTAAATTGTAGCTGCACATACCTCCAAGACCTGGCAATTCTATTTTGAGGGATTTATCTTAGAGATGTAGATGTATATTATGTAAATATTATATATTGCAACGTTATTTACAATAGTAAGTGCTTAGAAACAGTGTAAGTGCACATGATTAGAAGCTTGGTTGACTAAGTTAGAGTTCATTTACAAAATAAAATACTTTGGCCCTTAAGAAATGAAGCTTTATGTAATAATAAAGGAAGATCTCTGAAACATGTTAAATGAAAAAGGCAGAGTTTAGAATATATGTATGTGTTTTTCTTGTATTTGCAGAAGATATTAGTAAAACTGTTGCCTACAAAAGGGAAATTGAATAGTTGGAAGTTTTGCTGTATAGTCTTTTGTACTTCTTAATTTTTATACTGTCATGATGTGTTTACTATTCAAAATAATGTAAATATCTTTAAATATTGATTAGATCCTCAGAAGCATACTTTTGAGAAAATTAAGAGTTGTTACATTTTTATGGCAAAAAATTCCCAGTGTAATAGACAATAGATGTTAAAGATGCTGTTATTTCAGGTAGAAGCAGTAAGTACTTCGGTGCAGGACTCAAGTGTCCTTGTACAGAGAAGCACACTGGACCTCATACTCTTCTGTTTTCCATTCCACATGAGTCAGGTAAAATATTAATGCTGATATTAATATAAAGCATTCTTGGAAAACTATAGATTGATAAAATATGTAGTTATTTTTTAAAGGCATGTATGTTGAATTCTTGTATAAATCAGTAAGCACATAGAAAATAAGTTCCTTTTTAAGGAGTGGAATTTGTCATGAAAAAAAGAAAAACTAAAGAAAAAACTCCGCTGATTTTATAAGAATGTGGTAATTCAAGTAGATTATTTCATACTTTTGAAAAAAGTTTTAACATATAAAAAGCAAGAGGTTTTCACTCCTAACTCTGAGTAAGCCTAGACTGAGACGCAGGCCTTCTACCCAGCCATCATCTGTACTGATGTTATGTTATCTTGTTATGGTGATTTTAACATGCGTGCCAGACTCTTAGCAGAGTTGACTATAACTTAAGAGCCAGCCACATGTTTGTTTACTCACTGTGATACTGTTTTTTTTTGGAGACAGAATCTCACTCTGTCACCCAGAATATAGTGCAGTGTCGCCATCTCAGCTTACTGCAACCTCCACCTCCCAGGTACAAGCACTTCCTTGCCTCAGACTCCAGAGTAGCTGGGATTACAGGTGTCTGCCAACACACTGGGCTAATTTTTGTGTTTTTAGTAGAGATGGAGTGTCACCATCTTGGCCAGGCTGGTCTTGAACTCCTGACCTTGTGATCCACCCACCTCAGCCTCCCAATGTGCTGGGATTACAGGCGTCAGCCGCCATGCCTGGCCTTGTCACTGTGGTATTTATTACAAATAAGTTGCACTTATTTGTAATAAGTACAACTAATTTGACAGATCATAAATGAAGATCATTCCCAGAACTTAATTTAATCAGTGCCCTCATTTTAAAAGAGATTATCTAAATTCCTTTGAGTTCTAAACTTTGATGAAGGTGATTTACAGCACCAGAATATAGGCATTCAGAGTGGTAGAACTACATACCCAACAAAAGTAATAAGATATTGAGACTAACTACCTTGGAAAAGTAAATTTATTCCTAAAAAGATATTAGTTGAAGAGACTATTATTTGAGTTTTTCATAAGAACTGTGATTAATTGATAACTGTAGTGAATTTTCATTATGACTGGACAATTTTTTATTCATTATTATTTCTTTTACTTTGATGTTGAAATGTTAATAACTTAAATAATTCTACACTTTATTGTCTATACTGTCACTCACTGGAGTGTAAATCACTCTCTGTTTCTATTTTGAGTCTTTGACACTTAAACCAAGGGACTTTATTCTACTCTTTGGGTTTTCACAAAAAACACCTGTTGAGTCAACTCAGCATAATCTAAATTTAGCAAATCTCTAGTATAGCAATGGCCAAACAGCCCAAAAGATAAGAAAGGTTTTTGCTTTGTCTTAGAAAACAAAGAATATGCCAAAGCAAGATATGTAATCCGAAAGTCTAAAATTTGTGCTGACTGGATCTTTAGCCAAAAAATTTATTGACTTTCACTCTTGAACTTTCCAATTGCTTTCTTACCTTCTAAATATTCAACATCATTGGACCCTCAGTTGATACATGTTTCAGCAAGATCTGAGGAATTAAGTCATAGTAGACTCAAGAACTTAATTTGTAATCTTAATATTATTATCAGTGTTTCCTAAAGCTTTTTTCAGCTTGTTCTTTCTTACTCTACCTTCTCTGTATTCCTACCAGCTAAAATGTTCTAGATTCTTACATTCTGTAATATGTATTAAGAAAACAGTAGCTTTGTTGAATGTGTTTTTTAAAAGTACACACTCAATTCTAATAATCTTGTAATTCTAATACTTTTCTCCCTGTTAAAACTCACTCTTTCAATGAAGAGACCCCCTCCAAACAGGCTTTGTGTGAGCAACATGGCTGTTTATTCACCTAGGTGCAGGCGAGCTAAGGCCAAAAAGGGCATCAGCGAAGGGTGGTGGGATAGGAATTGGTTTTATAGGTTGGGGCAGATCTTTCGGGGAGGGGGCAGGGGTGTTGGAATAAGATCAGTTACAGTGGCGGGAGTAGGGGCAAGGAGTATATATTACCATAATTTCAGTTACAGTGGTGGGTGGGGTAAGGCATAAGAGTAGTTAAGATGGCAGGGTTGGGTGAGGAGTACTCACATTATTATAAGAACAGTTAAGATGACGGGATGGGGTGAGGGGAAGCTTATGTCCAAGGGAAGCTCTGCAGGCTTGGGGTGGGGGGTGAGGGGTGGAGGGTGATCAGCTGAGACAGGCAGGATTTTAGCCTTTCTGGGTCCAAACTTGCACATGGAGACCTGACACTCCCCACTACACCCAATTCTAATACAGTTCTCCCTATTACTGTACCAAACTGAATAAGGATTATGATGTAGTCACCTTAGTTTCCCACTTTCCCTCTTTCTGTGTCTTGCAGATTCTTGGCAAGTATGGATTGTATTATAATTGTAACTTAACAGTACCTTCATTACCATATCCCAAAAGGATGATTGCTGTTAGGAACTTTAGCAGTGGGATGGACTGCTACATTTCTTTTACTTGTTTCCTGGAAAGCACACCCAAATCTGTAGTACTTATACTTTGAGATTATAGTAGACTTTTTTCATATTAGAAATAGATGGTGATATCAGTTATAATCAAGAAGCAACTTTTTAAATTTTTTAATGGACATGAGTTATATATATTTATCCTGTACAACATGATGTTTGAAATACATATACATTCTGGAATCTGTAAATTGGGCTAATAAACATTCATTACTTCACACTTAATTTTTACAGTGAGAACACAAAATGTATTCGGAGCAGTTTTAAAGAATACAGTACATTGCTAACAACTATAGTTACTATGTTGTACAGTAGGTCTTTTTGAACTTATTTTTCCTATCTGAAATTTTTTATCCTTTGACTAAAATCTTCTGCTTCCTGCTTAAGAGAGTAGTTTTTCTCGCAAAATAAGATGGGGAGACATTTGTACTTTTTAACATTTTGTGACAATATAATCCTTTATCTGATGTTGATTAGATCGGAAGTTCTCAGATACTTTAGTTGAAGAGCCCCATTACACTCTTTAAAAATACTGAAGGTCCTCAAAAATCTTTTGCTTGTATTGGTGAGATCTGTCTATGTTTATCATATTAGAAATTACAACTGGCAAATTTTAAAATATTTACTGATTAACAATAACAGTTACTATATTAGCATAAATAACATTTTATGTAAGTAACTGTTTTCTAACATATAAAAAAAATTAGTGAGAAGCATTGTTTTGTATATGTGCAAATTTCTTTATTGTCTGGCCTAATAGCAGAAAGCAGAGTGCTTTACATCTGCTTCTGCATTGTCTTTTGTGATTTGTTCTTTTGGTTAAAGTATATGAAGAAAATCTGCTCTCACATTGATATATAGCTGGAAAATTGAGAAGTATTTCAGTAGCATTTTATGTTAAAATTACGTGTTCTTTGATATTATACCAAATTTTGCAAGCTGTAGATTTTCAAAATTAGTTACAATATTGAGTCTTAAACCATATAAATGAACTTTTCATGTACTGTTTCATTAAAATCCACTGACCTATCATGTACTTTCAGTGGATCTTTCAGTCATACATGCTTTTGTAATGTCATGATTGGATATTTAGGAAATACTGGCTTACTGAATTATGCAGATTTTCCGAATGTTTTCACATTTTATTATACTATACCAATCATGTTTATTTCTGTTGCCACTGATCTCATCAGTGAAGATTCTTAGATATGGGGAGAAACTTTTAAGCCCAGTATTGAGAAGCTTTCAAGCTAGTTCAAATCAAAATAGTACAATATCGGCGGATGTGGTGGCTCACAGCTGTAATCCCAGCACTTTGGTAGGCCTGGGCGAACAGATTGCTTTAGGACAGGAGTTCGAGTCCAACATGGTGAAACCCCATCTCTAATAAAAATACAAAACCTAGCTGGGCGTGGTGGCACATGCCTGTAACCCCCAGCTACTTGGGAGGCTGAGGCAGCAGAATTGCTTGAACCTGAGAGGGAGAGGTTGCAGTGAGCCAAAATCACACCACTGCGTTCCAGCATGGGTGATACAGCGAGATAATATCTCAAAAATACACACACACACACACACACACACACACACACATTTATATACACACTCAGTTTCAATCCAAGTGCAAGTTTTCTATAATTTTAATTTCTCTTGGAAGCTCAACTTTTATTATTTGTCACGATTAATATTATTTTCCTTGAAATGACAGGCTCACTTTGAGAAAATGACGACAAAATGCCCAAGTCTGCATAATCATAGTCGGTGTTAGTAATTCTTTCAGGTAAAAAATGACATTCTGTGAGAAAGCTGGTAGTTAAGCTCACAACCCAGTTACACAATTGGTTTTCCTTGAGACAACTATCATACTTCAGTATACATCAGAAGTACTTTGAGTGTATCTTTCACTTTATTACACAGAATATTGAAAGACATGCACTCAAAGATTGATATATAAGAAAACAAATTTATACTGTTTTAACAACACTTTTAAATGGAACTGACTTCTTTTTTTTGTTTTTGATTTTACTGCAAGTACATGGCAGTAAACATATAATGATTACCAGTATAGTGGGTGCCACTGCTGTGCTGCTTCTTTTCATGCTAAGGTGCATCAGGGCAAATGTCAACAGAACAAAAAGCCCCATAACATCTTGGTATTGTTATGAATATGCATAGTTTTATTTGTTATGAATATGATTAGTTTTTATTTTGTGGACCCCCTGAAAAACTCTTAGAGATACCCAGGGGTCTTGAACTGTACTTTCAGAATCACACAGTTCAATAGAAGACATTCGTGTTCAAAGGAGTGAACCTAATTTGTCAATTGTTGGTGATCTGTATCATCTCAATTATTTCTCTAAGATTCCTCTAAAATAAATGATCTGGGTAAATCCTTTCTAATTCTAATTCTATCAAAGAAGCATGGTATAGGACAAAGTTCACTGGTCTATGATTAAGGAGAAGTGAGTTCTCCATCTAGCTGGGGCACTTAACCAGGGATTTGAATTTGGCTAAGCACTTAGCCAAAACCTCCAGAACCTGTGAGGGTTAGGTTCTTTATTTATAGAGTGGTTGCTAAATTAGTTTCCCCATTTTCTTCCAATTCTGATTCCAAGATTCTATTGTAAAGTAGTTTATCTTAAAATTAATAGCAAGTTAGTTGCATTTCTTCTATTTTGATTTTTATAACTTTACCTCTTTTAGCTATAACCAGATCTCCTTTAATCATTTTTTAAATATTGAATTCAGGATATTGAGAAAAAAGAAAAAAAACTCTTAAAAAGATCTGGAAGAAAATGAGAGGAAAATTAAGATTTGTTAAAGCTGAGTGATTGCTGGAAAATGGTTTATTTTGTTGTTTTCTCTATTTTTCGGTATGTTTAAAATACTACAGGATAAAAATTTTTAAAAAAAATAAATGACTTTGAGTTGATGAAGTTAGAGACCTTCTAAGTTTATAGTCAGTTGACAACATTGTAAATGTGAAAGACTAATGGCATATGATTTTCTTATGTCTGTCCCATCTTGCTCCATTTTATTTATTTTATGTCAGAATTTGCTTTATATAAAAAACTTTAAACTGGAAGTTGAAATAATTAAGTTACAGTGTCAGTTATACAACTAAATAGCCATGTTACCTATCTTTCTTCTTGTTTCCTAATCCGTAAAATGGAAGTAATAATTTCTGTGTTTGAAATAATATATGAAAGTACTCCATATACCCTAATGTTCTGAGCATATTGCAAAGCATTTTTTAAAGAGAAAAAACATAATATATATTGTATATTGTTAAGTATAACCATATTCCTAACTTTCAGGCCACTCGTCCGGATATGATTAGGATCTTGTCAGCAGCCCTTCATGTAGTACTAAGGAGGGATATGTCTCTGAACCGAAGACTTTATGCATGGCTTCTTGGTAGGTACTTGATGTCTTCAGTCATAATTGGGAAAAAATGGAGGGAGATTTGTCATGTATCAGGATTACCAAGTTGTATGTATGTCCTAAATTTAAACACTAAGATTTCTTGTGTAAATGGACAATAAAAGTATAAACAGTGTTAGTTGTGTATTACATGAAGAAATTTCAGAAGCTTCATGGTTGAATAGGCTATTTGAATCCATAAAGTCATGTTGCCTAGTCCTTAATTTGTTTTTCCCATTACAAATTGAGGTAGTTGTACTTTAAGTTAGTAGGCAAACAAGGATGAGCTAATAAAATGCTGGCATACTGTCCAAAACTCTGAAGTCATGAAAGGAATCAGGACTAGTACCATTGTCTTACACATCATACGAATGTCCCGCTCAGGCATTAATACATGTGTACACTTTGATCTTCCATGTTTTTTGTGTGTTTTGCCTGTCTTCACAACTCTTCACTCCCTAGAGTGAGGGGACATAATGTAACTTATTGAGGATGTTCTGCATATTCAGTTATTTCACTGTTAGTAAAATTGGCCTAAAAACAAAGGATAATTCTGGAAGAATACTATGATACTTATGTATTGGTTTCCCTTTATTAAACTATCTAAAATGATCTCTCTTGCTGACATTGAATGGGCTACTAATTGGTAAGTGTTTAGTGCTGTTTTTGAGATTTTGCTGTTTTGGTATTTAGTGAACAACAGTTTTGAGAATTCCTTTTTAATTAATTTTGTGATTTGTTTCCCTGGAGGTTTTGATAACAATGGTGCTATCATAGGACCCAGAAGCACAAGACACAGTAATCCAGAAGAACATGCCACTTATTATTTCACTACATTTTCAAAAGAATTATTGGTCCAGGTAATGAATATTTTCATTATTCTTTGGTCACTTACTGACCACTAAAGTTACTGAAAAAGTGTAAGACGAGGTCCTCCCTTAATTGATTTTACAGTTGAAAGGGTGGAGACAAAACTTACAAATATCCCAAGAATGTGTATAACATGAAAATGCATGTAAAGTGATAAATAATCATATGTTAGACTACCACCTAAGACAAAAGATTTTTTTCTCTTTGTTTTCATTACTTTATTAAAACATAGTTGCAGCTTCCCACCTCTCTGCCCTGTGAAAGTTGGAGCTTTTCCAAAAATGAGTCAGGACCTGGGCTTTTTCTTGTGAAGCTCTGGAGAAGTTTATTTTATTATTATTTTTATTTGAATTATATTTGTTTAAGGTATTTCAAATAAACAAGAAAATACATGGTATCTGAAGCATTTTTAAAGGAGTGAGGTTATAAGAATATAGTTATTAAGTCTGGAAAAATAATCGCCTAACAGCAGATACTGCAGTGATAATGTGGCGTAGTTTGAGAAGGATTATCTTAAATAAAAATTCATCTGTAAGGAAAACACTTGGCTTATGAATATGTTTTTCTAAATTTGCTTTGATATTCCACTATGTTTAAAGTAAATTTAGACAGTTTTTTTCTGAAGGTAAATAAAAATATTTTTTTCCTAGCAGCATAAGAAGGCCAAGGTTGGTGAAAAGGCTTCAGAAAAGCAATGGGTGCATAAATCTCCATTACATATGGTTACATTTAAAAGTATTTTTTCTTAAGGAAAAAATCTTTGAATATGTTCATTTAAATGACCAGTGTGTACTTTCCTTTTTTAAAGGCAATGGTGGGAATCTTACAAGTGAATGGATATGGAGAAGAGAGCACTCTAATGCAGGATCTAAAGCCTTTTCGAATTTTAATCAGTTTACTGGACAAACCTGAGCTAGGTAATATATACTCTCCTAGGGCATAAGGTTATGTGTGGTACTTTGTGTTAATAAGAAAATAAAAAGAGTCATCAAGGAAATTGTTATATTTTGAGGTGGCTGTTAAGTTTAAGTTCTCAACAATTTCTTAAAGTTCACTCTTTGAAGTTAAGATACAGATATTCATCCAGCTGATACATTATTATGTTTGTCCTGTGCTATGTATGTAGCAGAAGGAATCACTTTAAAGATGCTATTTAAGCTTCTCTTAATCCTGATTATGTTACTGAAATTGAAACATTTATCTATCATGACCAATTTATAGTTCAGAGAATCCAATGACTTGAGAAAAAATATTTGTGATGTGAACTTTTTCTCCACATTCCCTTTATTTTGTATGTTGTCTCTTTATTCTTTGTGTATTTCTTACATATTATGGCACTTGAGACCGAAATCAGGAAAAATCGTAAATATTTGCAACAATAAAATGAAATCATAAAGTATGCAATTTCTTCAAATTATATACAGATGTGTTAGCAGATGTCTTCTCACCATTTCTTAAAAATGAAAAAATTTTAAATGTAAGAATAACTTGAGTTGTATAAATTGTCTTGAGAGGCTTTTTGGCTATTATAACAGATGAAACTCGGGAACTTTTTTAAGGAAATGATATCTGTAATAGCAAGAAAATTTAGCCTTATGCATTTTAGTATTAATAGCAGTAATTATGAGTAGCATTTGTTGAATATTCATTATATTTTAGAAATTATGCTACTCATCTTACAAATATTTTTTCTAACCCTTAACAGTCCTGTAAGCTTTGGTATTGCCCTCATTTTGGTTGAGGAAACTAAAGCTCAAAAAAGTTAAATAGCTTGTTCAAGGTAACAGAACTATTAACTGGCAAAACCAGTTTCTCTGATTCTGTAACTTCTGTTGTGTTAACCTGCACTTTAAATATTTGTTTAATTATGTAATGTTTTATATTACCATCTCAAAAAATGTGAATTTAGCTTAGCTTCTGAAGAAATATTATTTTAAAAATACTTGTTTTTAAAGCATTGTTTAATTAGGCCAATTTTCAGATAAGCATGATTTGTTCATGCCAATTAATTAGTGTCTAATTTGCATATTAATTTTAGGACCTGTAATTCTAGAAGATGTCCTGATTGAAGTGTTTAGAACATTGTATTCTCAATGCAAAGCAGAGTTGGATCTTCAAACAGAACCACCCTTCAGCAAGGATCATGCTCAGTTAAGCAGGTAGATTATAAAAAAAATTAAATATGACTTAAAGATATAGTATGTATTCTCTTAATAGAAACTTGAAGTGTTAGTAATAACTCGGATCATATTCTATGAAGTTTGTGTTCTAATAAGTTAAAATATAACTGTAATTTGGTAATTTATTATAATTAACTACATTGTAATCTTTCAAACAGACACTTAACAGCACGATGTCAGAACCACCACAGTCCAGACAGGGTTGGTTGTTAATCTCACCTGTTTAAAATCTAAAAAATTAAATTTTACTAGTTAATTTGAAGATACTGGCTCCAGGAAATTTACTTACATTTACCAAACTCACAAGAAACTAATTGCCACATATTAGTAATTGGAGTTGTAACAAATCAGGTGTATGTGTGTATGTGTACATGCATACATAGGACAAGTCATGTAACAGCATGTCCTGTTTTCTAATCAGGAATAGATGCTGACAAAATTTTTTTTCTTCTCTACATTAAGCAGACCAACTCTTTTCCCGTATCATCTGTCACTGTAATATGGCAAAGGTTCCAAAACTACAGTTTTGTTTTTTACATAGTTTGCATTTAATTGGTGTCTTCTTGGTGAGACTTTGGAGCTACTCTGAGCTTTCCTAAAACATATATATACATGTAAATGTTTTAAGACAGTTTTTAATTTCTGGTGATATAATCCCCTGTATTTTTTGTTGTAGAAGTTAGCATTAACTAACCTGGTACTCTTTTTCATTCTGTATGCTATCTATCTGAGAATTGATATCACCCATAGAGTATTTAATTAGTCTTCTTCTGTGACATACTAGTTGTATTGACAGTACCTCAGTATATAAAGACAGTTGTTTTAATTGTTAGAAAAGACAAGAAGAGAAAATAGCTAATAGGCTAAAGGGTTGCCACTTGAAATAACAGTTATTTTTTCCTGATGCAATTTCAGTAATAATGGCTATTAACAGCACTAGTTTGTTTTGTTGTGGTTGTTTTTCAAACTAAGAATAATTTGATCGAAGCTGGTCAAAAGAAACTAAACCTTTCTTAAGAAAATCCTGAATGGCACAGGGAAGCAGATAAAATTCTTGAGAATTAAGGCTGTGAAAATCAAATCACTACTCAGTTTATATGTGCCAAGGGAAATAAAAGAATTTTGCCAAATTAACAGTCCCACACTCTAATAGTTCAAAAAGAACATCTTGTTCTTTGTCTTTTTTATTCAGCAATTATGCAAGGCTAATTTCTGATCTTGACCACATATTTGAGTTACAAAAATTCAAATTTGGAAAAATAACTGCACATACAGTAATAGGGGAGTGGCAGTAGATAAAAATTGTTTGTTGCAGTCTTCTTACTAGCACATTTTCTAGCAACTACCTAGGAATATGTACTGGCATTGCACTCAAATTTAAATTTGAAAAAATAAATGTTAATATTTTTTAGTTTTGTTTTCTTTTCTCTTTTTCCAGTAAATTAAGAGAAAATAAGAAAACAGCAGAGCTGATTAAAACTGCCAACCTTCTCTTTAATTCCTTCGAACCTTATTATATGTGGGATTATGTTGCACGTTGGTTTGAAGAATGTTGTAGGTATGTTGAACTTTCATTCCTTTTAATTTAGTAACATCCAAAACTAACCTTTATTTTTAAGTTGTTAAATTTAGTGAATGTTCTTTTATATGTTCTACTACTAGCAACTATTAGTTACTTATTATCCGTAATTGACTCTATGTTGTCACATAGGCTATAAACTCATTGATCATATAACCTTAGAATTGGAAAGGAGTTTAGAGATCACTTATTCATACACCAGAGTAGATTAAAGATTTCCCTCTTCAGTCTATAGTAATCCAGTTTTTTATTGTGTAGAAAAGATAGCAAATTTTTGGCTACTGCCTCAGCACACTTTCCCAAAAGAATTTTCACTTTGATTAACAAAAAACTTCTTGGCCTGACTTGTGTTTTTAAAGCCATTAGAACTAATTCATACTGTCACTGGCAAGTGATAAAAGCCTTCTACCCCTTGGGAAATAAAGCCAAAAATATGTCTGAAAACCCTAGGATACCAGTGAGCCTGTGTGGAATCTCTGTCTGGCTGCTACACCATATCCTCTCAACCAGATTAATCACTCAAAGCTCAGAAGCATGTAGTCAAAATGTAATTGTGTATGATCTTGCATTAGAAGTCTTTTAATAAAAAATGTAGTTATTGCTCCTATACATTAATCTCTAATGGTTTAGAAAGTTCTTGGCTTATTCAGCAGATGTTGAACACCCAGCTAAAAAGCATCGTGCTAGGCAGAAAGACAGTCCCTGTCTTCAAAGATCTTATAGTGAGAACAAATAAGACATGCACATGTATATTCCTAGTATTAAATGAAAAATTACAAATGTCTTAATAGATTACAGGAATGCAGAGGAATCATATCTTTGTGCCACCTGGTCCTACTCTGAGATTTTTCCTTCCACATTCAGAAATGCACACATCCACACTTCTTCAGCCAATCTGTACCATTCTCTGAAAGTTAGAAAGTTATCTTTCATGCTGCTGAGGCTTCACTTGTGCTATTCTTTCTAAAATACTCTTCCCCCTTGCCCATCTGCTGAAAGCCTATGTAGAGGTTACCCACCTTTCCTTCCTTGACTGCCTCAAATCTCCTATCAGAATCAATGCCTCTGACACTGGCACATTGTTGCATTTATTTGTCTACATGCTTATATTCTTGTTGGTCAGGGACTATATTATATTCTTTATGTCTTAAGAGTGTAGGGCAATGTATAGTCATATAGGATTTCTATGATTTAATATGTATGTTGGAGGAATGATCTCTACTACTTGGGTCAAAAGAGGCTTCCTGGAGGAGGTAACATTTGATCTCAGACTTGAAGGACAGATTCATTCTGAACATGGGAAAATGAGATTGGGGAGGAAAGTAGTACACAAGAACAAATGAGCCTGTTTTAAGACCCCAGTGTTAGAAATCAAGTAGCAATTAATCAATGTTAACTGGGAGGTGACATCTGTAGTAGAAGCAGTGGGAAATAAGTCCCAGAAAGTGAGATCCATTCAGAACACTTCAAAGTGCAGGATGGGAGTTGCAGGGACAGGTTCAGCCTAGGAATCTTGCTTTGAGAATTTTCCACATAAAGATACAGTGTTCTAGGGGAAATAGAATATGTCATCACAAAAACATTACTGTGTGTGACCCAATATTGACTTGGCCTTCATTAGAAGGATGATGATGCTGTCACAGGTATTCACATCACTTGACAGTATACTTAATAAAGTCAATTTTGTCCTTTTAGGAGGACACTGCATGCCAGACTTCAGATTGGGCCTGGAGACAGCAGCGACTCATCTGAATTACAGCTGACCAATTTCTGCTTACTGGTGGATTTTTTGTTGGACATAGTTTCTTTGGTAAGACTACCTTGGTAAGAAAATATCAAGGAAATCTAATAATGCAGTTCAAATATTTCATGTTGGAGGCAAGCCTTATCTTTAGATACATTTCATCTTTAAAATTAAATTGATTTTTTCCTCTTGTAAGCTTTTCTTCATAAAATCTTTTAAGTGTTTTGTCTTTTGACATATACACATAAAAAATATATGGAGTATATGTCATAATTGCATGTTATAAAATCTTAACTGTTTAGTGTATAGTGGTCTAATGCTGCATTTATATTAACATATTTCTATTAAATGAAGACTGTTGGAAATCTTTTCCCTTCTGTTTTCTCTCCTCACTTCTTTGCTTTCTCATTTTGAAGCCTACTAGAAGTATGAGGGTGCTGTGTCAGGTACGACATTCAGCCTGTTTTGTTTTTAAATGATTCTGTTTACTTTTGTTATGTTATAATTTTAATAATGTAGCAGATAAAATTGGGGTTCTTTTATAATATATGCTTTGCAATATTTAAATTGAGAATTTGGGATTAGAAATTTTATAAGGCATCAGTAATAAAATGTTAAGAGCATGATGAGTATAAAACATTAAAGAGTAAAATTATTGCCTTATTTATATAGTGTTATACAGTGTTAAGAGCATGATGAGTATAAAACATTAAAGAGTAAAATTATTGCCTTATTTATATAGATTTTAAAAATGTAACGTTTGGGTTACACATTGTTTAAACTTTTTTTTATTTCACTTTTATTTTCAGGAGACTTATATTGAAATCCAGACAGAACACTTGCCTCAGTTGCTGCTCAGAATGATTTCTGCCTTGACAAGCCATCTCCAGACATTGCACTTATCTGAACTCACAGATTCACTCAGACTCTGCTCAAAGATCCTTAGCAAGGTTCAACCTCCACTGTTATCTGCTAGCACTGGAGTTGTGTTACAGTTTCCAAGTGGGCAGAACAATTCAGTCAAAGAATGGGAAGACAAAAAGGTAATTTTAACTATTATTTTTGGTATTAGACCATTTACATTTCTTCAAAGCAGAACAGTTACTTGGTAAAATCACTTATACATAAGCACTTAAATAATAGTGAGTCTTTCTTAGATCCAAATGCAGTGTTAGTAGGCTTGTAGGCTTTTGGTTGTAGGGCAGTTTAATCTACATCAGTAATTTTCAATAGAAGTATCATGTGAATGGCATATGTAATTCAAAATTTTCTAGTACCCACATTAAAGTAAAAAACAGGTGAAATTAATTTTAATTATAGTTTATTTAGACAATTGTAGCCAATATGTTATTTCAGTGAGATCTACATAAAATTGATGTCATATAAAAAAATACGTGAGGTAGCTTGAATTCTTTTTTGTACTGTCTTCAAGATCTAGTGAACATTTTACACTTACAGCACATCTTCTTCTGAGTATACAAAAGAGGCTAAAACAAAGGCACCACTCAAAGGTAGGCACAACAGTATAAATAACCAATTAGGGAAGGGTAGGTATATGTAAAATAGATGAAGAGTGGGGATCAATCAGAGGAAGGCATGCCACATGGGAAGACACGTTCTCAATCTGGTCTGTGGATTTATCCAGGACTTGCAGCTAGGCTTTAAACTGTCTTTGGCTTGAAGGTAGGGTTTCACCAGATCATTCCTGGCTGCCTAGGATTTGTCTGCCTCCTACTGCTATCACTGCTAGTTGCTGGCTATCGAGTGGTGAGCTATGCATAGTCTCTGCCCTTCTCTATTCTTTCTTTCTAATTGGGAGACAGATATAAAACAAGTAAGTGGGTGTTTAATTACAGTTGTGATAAATGTACAAAAGAAAATAATCAATGATAGGAATGTGGAAAATAGGGTGACTTGACGTCGGCTGGGGTCAAAGAATGCTTTTTTGAGGAAGGAATGTTTGAGTGAAGCCCTAGAGAGATTGGTGTGGTGAGAGAGGTAAAAAGACAGCACTTGACAGAGGAAGTGTAACAGCCCAGTGGGTTCACCTTCCCTACTGCCTAGACAGAGCTGATTTATCAAGACTGGAAGTACAATGAAGAAAGAGTAATTTATGCAGAGCCGGCTATGTAGGAGCCTGAAGTTTTATTATTACTCAAATCAGCCTCCCCAGAAACTTGGGGATCAGAGTTTTTAAGGATAATTCGGTAGGTGGGGCGGCGGCCAGTGAATTGGGAATGCTGTTTGGTTGGCTCAGGGATGAAATCATAGGGAGTTGAAGCTGTTCTCTTATGCTGAGTCAGTTCCTGGGTAGGGGCCACAGAACTGATTGGCCTGTCCAGATGGGGCCATTCAGTTGTTAGAAATGCAAAAACTTCGGTTCACATAGTGACGTTACCTACAAGAGTAATTGCGGAAGTTGCAAATCTTAGGACCTCTGGAATAATGGCTGGTAACATATAGAATTCCAGACCTTCTGATTCTAACCTGGTAACCTTTCATTTGTTTTACAAAACAATATAGCTTTAAAGTATAAACTAAATTCTTTCCTGGGGCTAGTTCAGCCTACACCCAGGAATGAACAAGGACAGTTGAGAGGTTAGAAGCAAGATGAAGTCAGTTAGGTGTGATATCTTTCACTGTCGTAATAGTCTCAGCTATGATTTCGCAAAGGCTGTTAGGCAGAGACAAGCACCAAGCAGACTAGAGATGCAGCTGTAAGATAGGCAGAGGCCAGGTCTTAGAGGGCCTTGAGCTATTCTAGGGCTTTTATTATTTAGGAACAACGGGAAGGCCCTGAAGGGGAAAAAGCAAATGGCATAATTAAGTTAGTGTATTAGAAAAGTTACTCTGGCTGCCTTGTGAAATGTAGATGAGAAACAGAACAGTTGTGGGAAAACCTGTAGTAGCCCAGGTGAGGGGTGGTGGTAATTTGTACTAAGATATGAGGGGTAAAGATAGAAATGGATGGATTAGCAATATATTTTGGAGGAGAAATAGACTTAATAATAGATTGATAAGGGTAATGATCGCTAACACTTAATGAGTGTTTGCTAGTGCTAAGTATTGTGCCTTGTGCTTTATATATACGGTCATGTAATCTTCATAGCAACTGTAGAATGTAAGAATTATTGTCTCAATTATACATATTAGGAAATGGTGGTTTGGAGAGGTTAAATAGCTTGCCAGGTATCACATAACTAGTGAATGGCAGAGCCCTAGTTGATTCAAGTCCTGGATCCTTAACCCCTCTACTGATAGGAAAGTGGGAAGGGGAGGAGGGGTGGAGAAGGTACCAAGAATGACCCCTAGGTTTTTATGTTACTGACTCAAGGAAAAGTGTGTCGTTCACTGAGGCAAGGAACATTGGATGACACCCAGCTTTGGGCAACAGAGCATTTAGTTCATATATTAATAAGATCACTTTTTGTGATCTTATTCAAATGCAAATTATACTCTGACACAGTCACCCAAGGAATTCTTAGGTATAACTTTTACTTAAACTAAGCCAGAAAATATGCTTGATTTTTATATTTATTCAGTTATAGGAAGGAAAAGGCTAATATAGTTCTACTCCAGGAACTGATTCATTTGTTTGTTTGTTGTAATTGTCTCTTATCTTCCTCTCTAGATTATAAACTATTCCCTTTGTTCCTACTACTTAATACAGTGTCTGGCACATGATAAGAGTTCAGGAACTAGTCACTGAAAGAATGTAAGATTAATAGCAAAGATTTAATTAGTACTTTACATATTTCAATAAAAATTTTACATTCATGTGGGCCTGAACAGATGACCTATTATATTTTATTTGTAGTTATTAATATGTCATTTTTTAACCTTACATATCTCATTCTTTGTATTGTTTATACATTAGGAAAGTGATTTCATGAAGTGAATGAAATAGTCATTTGAAAACAAGGATATAGATCCTAGAGATTTGTATGTATGTATTTTTGTGCTCAATCTAACCTTACATATGCTCTGTATGTAGTCCATAATAAATACTTGGTGAATGAATGTATATTAATGTATTAGAACCGTATCAGTATTTCCTATTGAATACATATAAATCAGTGTAGGAGCTGCTTTAAGAGTTAACAGAATGGATAGATTAAATTGTGAATAATCTAAAATGTCTCTCAAAAATGGCCTTTTCTAATTCCTAATATATCCTTTGCTACTCAGCCTTTTGCTTTCTTAACAATCTAACAGATATCATCAGTTTCTCATGAAAATCCTACTGAAGTGTTTGAAGATGGAGAAAATCCACCAAGTAGTCGATCATCAGAAAGTGGATTCACTGAGTTTATACAATATCAAGCAGACCGAACTGATGACATTGACAGAGAACTGAGTGAGGGGCAGGGACCAGCTACCATCCCAATTGGCAGCACATCCTCTGAGACAGAAACAGCATCCACTGTGGGATCTGAAGAAACCATCGTTCAGACCCCTTCTTTAGACACTCAGGGGACAACAACCCGAAGTGGGAAGACAGCCCAAAAGACTGCAATGCAGTGCTGCTTGGAATATGTCCAACAGTTTCTTACCAGACTTATCAACCTCTACATCATTCAGAGTAACTCTTTTTCTCAGGTTTTGGCTACAGAGCATCAAGGGGATCTTGGTCAAGAACAAGGAGAGACTTCAAAATGGGACAGAAATTCACAAGGAGATGTAAAAGAGAGAAACATAAGTAAACAAAAAACTTCTAAAGAATACCTTTCTGCCTTTCTTGCTGCCTGTCAGCTCTTCCTAGAGTGCTCAAGTTTCCCAGTTTACATTGCTGAGGGGAACCATACGTCAGAGTTACGTTCTGAAAAATTGGAGACTGGTAAGGTCATCTCTCAGTTTTGCTTATATTTCAGTATTTTCTGTAGTATGCTGTTTTTTGTTTTTTTTTTTTAAAGCGGTACTCATTAAAACTGGGTTTTTTTAGCCAGTTTTTTAAGGTTTTAACTTGTAAGGTTTTTTTTTTTTTTTTTTTTTTTTTTTAATAT